TGAAGGGAGAGCCCCTTCCGACCCCCTCTCCACGCGGGACCGAACACTCCCACCCTCCCCTCCACCTCCCGCGGGACCCGCCCCCCTCTTTTCCATACCGGCCCCGCCTAGTGTCCCCGCCCCACAACTCTATTGGTTAGCGCGCCTGCCACTCGGTGCTCTCTCCCAATCCGCTTCCCAGTCCTTTTCGGGGGCGGGCTGCGGGGTGCCCCAGCCCGTCCCTGGCGCCGAGGGGGAGGAGTCGAGGTCGGGGGCGGGGCGGGGCCGTGCCTGGGGCTGGCGACACCCATGGTTTGCTGAAGTCGGTGTCTTTATTCTGTGTCTTTATTATCATGATGATCTTTCCTTGTCTGAGCTAGGGGTTCTGTTTTGTTGGCCATTTCATGCTTTCTTTTTGGGTTTCATGCCTACTTTCTTAACGCTTTCCTTCTGCTCAATGCTGGAAGCAAACTATAGACGTGAGTTTGTAAAGCGGGACCCTGGACAGAGAGCACCGTGTTCCAGCTGCTGGTTGCACTAACGATCTGGTCACATCCATTGTAGAGATCTGTTTCACAGTTGGTGCAGATTGGCAGGCCTTAGTCTTTCCTTAGTTCCACATTTTTCAAAAGGGGGCAACACCTCTCTCCTTGCCACGTGTCTTGTCTATTTAGACTGGTAAGCCCTTCACCTCAAGAACTGTGTCTCCCTACACCCATCTCCAGCACCTCACCTAAATTGAGTGCCATATCAGGAGAGGTCACTAGGATCGAATGCAAGGCATGTAGTAAGATGAATGAGAGGTCAAAGCAATAAGAGTGCAAATACAAGACCATTTGCGCACTCAAGGTCGATCACCAGCTGCCTTGCAGCCAGTACTCACAGCTTTATAACAGACCCGAGTCTGAAAGAAGGAAGAGGAAGAGACTGCAATTATCCCATGCTTAGCAGCACCAGCAAGATGTGGAGCATATGTTCAAAACAACCAAATGAAAGCCATCTCATGGAATACTGAAATGTGGAGGACTTTCCTGCTTTCAGAATTTTGCATCACACACTAACAGTTAAGCAAGCTCAAATGGTTAGATATCACCAGCATCCAAATTCTGATGACTTCATAGTTGCCCTGTCTCAGGATCTGAAATTCTGTGGTATCATGATTGCTTCCTCCCAAGTTACCCATCACCTTCACATCCTCCACCAGATCTTCCCTATTGGTCAGGACAAGATCCAAGATAGATGATCTAGTTGTAATCTCAACTTGCTGGAACAGAAAGTTATCCTCCACATAAATTAGGAACTAGTTTTACATTTTAGATGAGTTGCAATACTAAAGTTTTGACTTCTTAGAGTTATCAGGGGCCCTTTTGCACTGCATTGAAAAGGGAGGGAGGGTTTCTCTATAGCCCTACTTGGACTTCCTGTTCACCTGAAGCTCCAACCATCATTGGCTCAGCTTTCATTTTGCTGAAGACACTTTTTGGCATTAGGTCTAACCCCTTGCAGCCACAGCTACCAAAGGAGCCCAGGTCCCAATGTCTGGGAGTATTAAGCAAAGCACCAAGAGAAGGTCTGCAGTTTTCTGATATGTGTATCATGCAGAGTACAGGCTACATGGGAGCCAAAGAAAAGAGCGGCATGGGTATGGAATGAACAAATGCCAAATTCATGCTGTTTAAACCTTCAGTATTGACCTTTGGCATCTTTCCATGTAAACAGATCTAGACAGAGATAAGCAGCTGCCAATATTTACATAGGTTACATTTTTTCTGCTTATGCCTCAGGCGAGAAGTTCCTATCAAGATTGGCTTTCTTATTGTAGTTTCTTATATAAGTCCCTTGACTTGCACTTACTTTCAGGAAGGTTTATGATTACCTTTTGAAATCAGGCCTTACAGAGGTGGTTAGCTATGTTAGCCTGAAGTCATGCAGAAGGTAGGGCAGGATGGCAGCACGTTAGAGCACTGGTTCAGAGAGGCAGCTTTTGTGGTCTACTACCTATAACAGGGGTCAGCAACCCTCGGCGCATGCCCCAGAGCATGGCACATGAGGCTATTTTGCTCGCCATGCCACAGCCGGCCCGGGCTCTGGGAAGGGCTGCTGGCCATGGAACCTGGGCTGCTTGCAGCAGGTGGCCAGGAGGCTGCAAGCCCTGCTGCAAGCAGCCTGGGCTCCATGGCAGGCAACAGCTGCCCAGAGCCTGGGCCAGCTGTGGCAAGCAGCCAGGAGACTGCAAACAGCCGCACCAGGCTCCGGAGCCCTAGCTGGACTCTGTGGCAACAACAGCTGCACACGTGCCTCCAGGTGGACAGCGTGGGAGGGGCCAGGGTTGTACTGCCCCTGGCCCTTTCCCAGCTGTGCCTTCCGATGTGTGCCTTGACGGAGCCCAGTGTAGCTTGTTGCAGCCTTTCAGCAGGTTTCAGGCAAATTGCAAACAGCTGCACCAGGGTCTGGAGCACCAGCACCAGCCCTGTGGCAGCAGCAGGTGCATGCGCACCTCAGGCTGCATGGCAGGCAAAGGGCCTGGGGCAGCACATCCCCAGCCCCTGCCCTGCTGTCTGCCTGGAGGCGCACATGTGCCCACTGCCAGTAGGGTTGTGCAAAATGGCTGCTTCGTTTCAGTTTTGACTGTTTCGGAGTACAGTGATTCATTTTGGTGTTTCAGATTGCTGTTCCGTTTGCTTCTCCGCAACTCTTCGGTTGATCCAGCCGGCTCCCAGGCCACTCCCCTCTGCCCCCACACTCCCAGTCGGCACCATGCTCATTCTCCCGTGCCCGGTTTCTTTCCCCATCCCCATCTGGGGCTCTCTCCCCCTCCTTCTTCCTCCGGGGTTTTTCTAGCTTCATGGAGCAACTGCTCCGGAAGCATGGCTCTCCCTTTTCCTTTATTGGTTCCTGCCAGTGCTCAGTTCTTACGGTCACAAACTCTCTCTCTTTAGCACACATCCAAAAGCGCTAACACTGAGTGGTGCCCTGCAGCACTCTTGAAAGGATCTCAAGCCACCCCAGTATGCCACAGGACTCTGGTTGAGAATCACTGGTTTAGAGTCAAGTTTCTAATTGCCCCTGGTTTGGTTTGAAAGAACAGGCTTCATAATTTCTTGCCCTCCCACTGTACTCTGTAGGTTTCAAGTATTTTATAAACAGTAACTAAAAGATAAAAAATGGAACTTACAGAATCAAGCCATCAAAACTAAAAAATACACCAGGTGGAGAGTAGAGCACAGAGCCTCCCTCTGTCATCTGTGATGCATTAAAGGAAACTTCCACCTAATCATTTTGGTTTTGGTAGCAGGTTGCTGGGTATCAGTGATAAATCACCTTCTATTTACTTCTGCATTTGAAATCAGGAGGGTGACAGGAGTATGCAAGACAAATACAGCTCCCATGGCCCATGAGTCACTGTGCTTCCTTCGTAGGTAGAATTAATCAGGACTCCAGGTTAAAGGACTAAAATGGGACTCAAGGAAAGAGTTTTCATTTTAAAGTTCAGCTTCATTAAGACTCAGATCACAGCCAGCTGTCTTTTGGAAATGGCAATGGGAGATTTTGCTGTAAGAGTTTTTCTTGAGCAAAGCTTTATGGAAGCAGCAAACCTGCTCCCCTTGGTAATTTTAATTTATATGGTAATGGATGAAGATGTCCCAGTGGGAGCAGATGTCACAGATGATGAAGGAAAAAAACATCATTTAGACCTGCAGGTTCACCAGCTTGCATATTGTTCTCAGACTTATTGTGGAAATACTGTGAGAAAGTAAATGTCCCAGCCAGGAGGAGAATGAATATGAATTGGTGCATGATCTGTTTATGAATGATCACCATAGCACCCTTTAAATACAAATGTATACACCTCTGCAACAGAGGAGGTCCATGAGATAAGGAATCAGGCACAGAACTGAAGTGATTTGCTTAAGACTGAACAGCCAGACAGTGAGCAGCCAGAAACAGAACCATGGCCAATATTCTCAGCTTGGACACCCATACCTAGGGGTCTCATTTTCCAAGGTGCTAAGCACCCCCAGCTTCCAAAGACTCAGTAGGAGTTGGGGTCTTTATCTCTCTCTGAAAGTCCAACCAGCTGCCTAGACAACTAAATTTAGTAATCCAATCTAAGTCTGAAGCACTCCAGAAATCAGCTGGAGTCATGAATTCCTGTCTCCTGCCCTAGCCACAAGGCCATGTTGACTTTACAAAAATGCATAGTGGAACAATGAAACCACACCAGGTTATGACCCAAAGCACACTATCTAAGAGAGGGGTCAGAACCATCCGTCACACAGAACACAGGCTGACTTCCCCCCCTCCAGGGAAAACTGGCACTATGCTCAATCAGTAGTTAGCAGGCATCCTAGTGGTTCCCCTGTGGTTCTTGGTTCATATGCTACATATGTAGAAAGACTTAGCATTGCTGTGGTTTCCATCAGGGCCAATTTCCATATATAAGGTGGAACAGGTAGTTGGGTTAAGACAGTGTAATGCAGAGGCAGAAAATAACAGCAACAGTGTATCTGGGTGATGCTAAGCTAGCAGGGAGGGGACTGTGGCTGCTCTGTCCTGGCAGCAGAAGCTCTGGGGCCACATCTGCCTCCCCTCCTAGGCATCAGGGCCCAGATC